TTTTTGCAAAAGTTTTAGTTTAAAGTATCTTAAAATTTTGTGTTAACAGTGAATTTAGACAAATCCTTAGTCTTTGTCATTGTCAGGTGTTACTTTTTAAATTTGTTTCCTTTTAATTTTGTATTTTCCAGGCCCTCAAACTCCCAGGGGGGGGCAAGAGGACTACTGCCCCCCCCCCTATGTACGCCACTGCTCATGGGTATAAAAACCGTGCTTGCACATTAAGGGAGGTCGATTTTAAGAAAGCGTCTTATCCAATATCCAATATTAATGCTCTTCTAGGGACGAATCCAAAAGAATTTCCAAATCGTCCTCCTTATCCTATATTATTCAAAATACTAGTTTACACCAGAGGTCTTGGCCACCAATTATCGACAAGAAAAATAAGGATGTTCCTCGGTTGTGCAAAAACCAATAGCTATGGTAATAAGTTATCAATATCCACGAAACAAAAACGAAACTATTGATATCATTGAAATTCAGGTTAAAGCACTTGTATCCAGATTAGCAACATTTTTACTACAAATCAATATTCATCTTTCACTAAAGTATCAACCAAATATTAATGATTCCTGAATTGTAAAGCAAGTTTCAGCATAAAAAAGCACTAAATAATTTTGATTTGTTTTTGCCCTGATTTTGTTTTACTAAATTATTTGTTGTTCTTGTTTTTGCCCTGAATTTTTTTTATAATCTTAGTGGGGGGGGGGGTTATGTTATAAAAAATATATCTCATGATCTCTAATTATAAAATGTTACCAGTATCAGTTATAATTTCTCCGGGTTCAATGGCTGGAAGGAGAGGCTTGGGTTTAGATGGAGAATGAATAGATCTGGGGGGAGGAGGAACTGCTTTACGGACTCCACGTCTATTATGTTTACCCTAAATATTAAGCAATTGACATTTTACGAATCAAATCAAATTAGACTTCGAGGGTATTCTGCAATTTCAAGATGATTTAACCACGGTTTACTTTTCAAAATGTGATTCCCAGAATACATAAGCACAGGCGAGTGGTAAAATGGTCAAGATTTGAAATGGTTAGGTTCTACTTTCGTAGTTCCAATGCATTGCATCTTGAAATATCACAAAGTCTAATGATTATTCAATTACTGACTCCTTATACTAAATCCATCTTAAAAACACTCATTAACCAATAATCATTAGACTTTGTGATATTTCAAGATGCAATACTCAAGTAAAATTTGTCAAAATTTCATTGTAATACAGTCTAAGAATTCAACACACAAAATATTAATCTTAAGTAGAATTGAAAAAATGGTTTGAGTTGTGCTTTTTTGCGTGACACGTCTGGATTTTTAAAAATCTCACTTTAAAGGCCCTAAATATACCATTTAAAAAAGTAATTTTGCCCGGAAGAGTCAAATGTGGTGGTACGGAAGGGGAAATAGTGGTGGCTCATGGCTGCCGGTAGAGAAAAAAGCTAATATGTGGTACGGAAGGGGAAATAGTTGTGGCTCATGGCCGCCAGCCTTCCCCAAATCGTTAAAAACTGATTGTTTTAAAAACTGATTTCTCTACAAAAGGGACTTTTTCTACTGCAGGAAAACATGGGAATTATCAGAATTAAATAATGTTTAAACCTAGAAAAACAACAAAACCCTCCACATTTTTGTTCAGATAAAGGTTTAATGTAGAAATATATTTTATAGAATGGAACAGATTGCACTTACCTTGATATGGTTCCAGAGAAGGTTTTCAGTTCTGAATAGTCTGGGACACTGGTTACACATTATAAAATCAATCGTTTGAACCTAAAAAAAATAATCTTGTGTAAATTATACGTTCTTTTGAGAACAAAATATACTGTAAATTGAAAAAAAAAACTACAGAAAGAGAATTTTTTCAAGTAAAAATAGATAAAATATAAACTCCAATAAATAAAAAAAAAACTTTTTTGAATNCCCCCCCCATCTAGATATTAATTCTCACCGCTCCGTTGATAAGTAAAGTTTTCTGTATTAGCTGGCATTCTATTTCATCTGGTAGATCAGCATCCCCGTAATCCCCTCCTCCATACAGATCCTGAAATTTTAAAATTAAATTAAGCATAGTTAATTCTTAAAGGGACTGCAGACGTGGTTGTAAGTAACCCTCTGCATATTGAGTAGCATGTTCGATTCACAACAGATCCCTTTAAACCGATATCGTCGTTTTCCTGAAAATTTTTTCTATTATTTTCCTGCAGTGGAAATGCGCGAGTCTCTTTTAAAAGATAAATAAACCACATTTAAAAAAAAATCCCACTCAATAAATTTAATGTCCAATGAATTTACAGCTACAGTCCCTTTAGTCTTTTTAAAATAGTTTAAGTAGAATTGCCCATTATATGTTGACGTTGAGTTTAGATGACAGCACGACATGTCCGTGAAAGAGTGATATTTTTAGATCTCAAGACATTGAATTAACAAATTAAATTTTTTGGGAGAAATCCTAGAATGTTGGGAGTACAGGAGGGGGGAGGGGGTATTTAAATTTACAAGAAAACAACTATCCACAACCTGTGAATGCTTCTCCGACTCTCGTGCCATTGTGACGAGTTCTCTCGCAACTCTCTCTTCCTCCTCGGATCGCTCCAACTCCTCCTCCTGCTGCATCCTCTCCATCTCCATCTCCCTCTCCTCCTCCTCCTCCTCCTCCTGCATTCTCTCCTCATCTCCCTCCAAATCTTCCTCCTCATCCATCTCCTCCTCTTGGACTGATATTTCTGAAAAGATCAGAATTCAAATGTGTCAACGTAATCTATTCCTACATGTTAACACATATTGTCCATCAAGATTGAACACCTAGTGGCCAAGCATGGGATTTACCATATAAACGATTTTGTATATGTTAATCCGAACAAAGTAATTCATTCTCTGACTGCTATTTGTATTGACGGTTATATGAATTTTTTAACATTACAGGGTTACCCACATCACTGACCACCTTGAAACCGATAAATGTAACGATCTGAAGGTTGAATTTGGTTTTGTGCATTGAAAATAATGTTTAACGAATTAAATTACCAATCTAATAAGTAAAGAGACAATATTACAGCTGAATCCTACAGAAAAGGCGTAAATTTATGTCATTCCTGAAGCATTTTCCTTAGTGGGTAACCCTGTCTGAGACAAACTTATAACTATGATCTATTTTGAATATGATTACTTGTAGAGCACAGAGAAGAAATGTTTTTGGTTTTAGTTGAGGATACTTTTTATAAATTTATAATAATCGTGAAATTCACACACTTAAAATTTTAGAGCCAACAGATTTTAGATTAGTTTTGTAGATATTTCGACCCTTATATCTGCATTTTAACCCCTCTCCATTTGTAATTATAAATAATTGAGAAAAAAACTATTATAATCTGCTTTTACAAGGCTTCTAGAAATTTTGTTAATAAACAAGGTGTTCTTTCAACGTTTAAAGGGACTGTAAAGGAAAAATGAAAAGGGGGTATAGGCTGAAAGCTTATCACTTTAGCTCTTGATCGCGACCCATGAAAGTTTTATCTGATGTTCCTATCTCGAGAAACTAATTTACAACTTTGTCAAATTTATACGAAAATTAATATATATACAATTTTGTATAAAAGTAGTGGGTTTAAAAAGTTCAAATTTAGCAAATAAGCAACCAATCTGAAAACGATGATATCCCAGAGAAAGCTAATTGTAACTTAGGTTTACTCCAATTCTAATTTTTTATTTCTTATTTCTATTTTTTTATAGATTTAATTCATAATATTATTTATACGTCCGTATTGCTTGACCAAAAATTCCACCAATGGCAGTTCAGTAAAGTGGTCACGAGATACAGGCGGAGACATGTGACCAGTATACTGCTCTGCCATTGGTGATAGTTCTGGTCACATGATTTAAGTTTAAGATTTACAAATTTTACATATATGAACTTTCGTATAATTTTAACACAGTTTTATATCAATTTCTCGAGACAGGAACATCAGATAAAACTTTCATGGGTCGCGATCAAGAGCTAAAGTGATTAGCTTTTAGCCTATACCCCCTTTCATTTTTCTTTTACTGTCCCTTTAATCTCGATATACAATGTGGACGCTTTAATTTGAAGATCAATGCTTGAAACCCCTCAGTTGAATTTATCCCTTCAGGATATGACTATCATAAGATATCGAAGATGAATTATATTAATCCGTAGATCTAAATAAAATATTAACATGAATACCGAGAAGATTAGATGTAGAAATGCGCAAATCCAAGTGTTAAATGTATTTTTCATCTTGGCTTAAAAAACTTCTTTTCATCTGCTTTAAAGCTTTCATAACGGGAATGTAGCGTATATAAGCAACCGAAAGTGCTCATATATAATTTCAAGGTTTATTCATCTACAGTTTTTACTGACTTCTTTTCGGATGAAAATTTTTTCAAAAAATCCAAAAAATGACTAAATAAAAACAACATTAAAAATATCAAGAATAACACTCTGCATTTATCTAAATGTAGTGCATCGGTAACAACGGCAAAAACATGTGGATCCGGATTCAAGGGACTAAGTATCAAAAATAAGTTTGTTTAATCTTTTGCTCTCAAAATCCAAACCTTAACTGTTTAAAAAAGAGAGATTATCAAAAATGCCCTCATTTTTCAGAGGTTCATCGAGATTTAGCATAAAACTAACCGAAAAATAGAGGGAGAAAAATTCTTCTTATGTTCAACGAGTTAGTAAAAAAAAATGTTCATGACCTCGATCCGGATCAAAATCACAAGGATCCTAAGCACGGATTAGTACCTTGGTAACCTCTCTTCAAAGGACGTCGGTTTCCCTCCAGGAGATCTCCAACTGTTAACCGATTCATGTTTCTTGTTCGATCTTACCACTTCCAGGTAATTTTCAATACTCTACATTTTCATCTGAAACTAATATAAGGAATTTTTACATTAACAAACACACGTAGACAGTAAATTTCTTTCAGCATGATGTATATAAATATATGTACGGGTTACTTTCATAACATTTTATCACATTTACGAACTAGACGTGTATCTTGGGCATACATGTGTGATGGATTAGTGAAGAACAATTGTCCCACATCTAAACTCTCTAAACAGAACATTAAAACCTGCATATTTAGGTTCTAATTGACGTTTTCTTTATCAAACACTAAAACGCGTTGAACAGGTCTAAATATAGGCACACATAGTACATTTTTTATTGACATTTTTGCAGAAATCACTTAAGTGAAACATTGTCAACGATTCGCTAATTGACCTTTATCTTATTTTTTTTCAAATCGAAAAAAATGACTATTGGTTTTAGAAATCCGGAATTCATTTCCATAAAACTTCAAATAAAATCAGTTGTCAAAAATATCAACAAAACTCGTTGACGACACTCCTGGGAAATAGGTCCATGTTGACAACCACTTAACCTTTATCCGTTGATATGTTAAAAAAATAAATATTTGATTGATCTGCAACAACAAAAAATATTGACTACATGCATATTGAAATCAATATAAATAATATAATCTTAAAAATAGTTTGTATCATAATTATAAATATCAAATAAATATGAATTTCATGGCATTTTAATACAGTTAGTCTAACGATTAGAAAAATACATTTTTATTCAAAATATTTTCAGTTGAGAAAAAAATAATAATGCTAGTTTCACGATTGATTTTAAACATTATATAACGACTGATCTGACCAAAAAAAATATGTAAGTTTACATACATAAGGAGACTAGACATTTTTTCACTAAACAGAGCACATATTGTACTAAAATATAGAAAGACAACAAGCTCTCTCGATTAGGGATTTAATAATTTAGAATTAAGGACGAAAATAATTTGTAAGCAAAGAGATATTGCAATTTACAGCAAACCTTAAAATAATGTGAAATTTAGTTGGTTGCAGCAATTATTTTAGGAGCCATTAGAAAATAACAATTTTGGATGATAATTTTCTTGAAATTAATCCTGGGAAAACTTAAGTTCATCAATGATCAAAAACCGTCGGAAAGAGGAAGAGATATCAAAAATCGAAATCACTTCACTTTTGTTTTAACCCATTAGTGACGAGACCAGTAACTATTAGTGAAGTTGTTTTAGACGGATCTTGTCAAAACAAAACTTGATTGTACTCATGAAAAAATGATATTCAATTAAATTTTTGATTTTTTTTTTGTACAGGGTGACCTGTAAAACATGAAAATCTAAAAAACTTTGGTAATTCATAATTTTTAATTATCTTCAAAACTTTACTTTTCATGTTTTAGTTATTTAGATCTTTAAAAGAAGATTCCAAAAATATCTAGCAAAAAAATTGACAATTTTATAGATTCAAAACTAAATTACAGGGTGTTCTTTTGGGTTTTTTTCCGAATTCAAAATCTTGTTTTTTTGGGTTTTTTAAAATTGAAAATAAAATAAAAAACCCAATTTTGATGTTACGTCCAATATAAAATATGTTTTGAAAACAGGAAATCCTAAGGAAAGCGCAGGAAAAGACAAGACAACATTTAGTTTAAGAAAAAAGGCACTTTAAAAAAAACCCGTCAAAATTGACCTTCTCGTCACTAATGGGTACAGGAGGAAACGCTGATTTTCGGGTGGGATACATGTTGAACAAATAAAGTTAGTTCCATGACTACGTTGACTAGATAAATTAAGATTACTCGGCGGTTAATCAGCAAAATTTTTAGACAAAAAATTAAGGTTTAATAAACAATCTAAAGAATTACTCAAGGTACCTTCGAAAGACACCATACTTGATACTTAGTATATCATTTAAGTATTATTACTTTCAGGAGACCATTATCGAAACTTAAACTCAAGTTTGGATTTATCATAATTAAATATGTATATAATGGACAGACCTTTTTAATGCAGATACAGGATTATAACGTTAGAGAACTTCGTCTAAATTTCTTAAACCTGTGAGTTAAGAACAAAGTCTTTAACGAGCAACTAAAAAGTCTACCATGATTGTAATGAAAAAAAGATTAAAAATGTGATAAAATAAAAGCTGATATTAATTAAATGTTAATTGTAATTAAAAAGGATATAATAAGAATCGCGTCCTATAAATAAAGTTAAAGGTTTGTTAGAACAGATAAGAATAATTTGAAAACTAACCGAAGAAAAGAACAAAATTTATTTTGCATTTTCTGTCAAACTTTCCGTGTCCGAGGTTTCGACATAAAAAGACTGATTTGGAAATGACGAAGATTTGATAGATGGAACTGACACATGCTTGTCTCCACACTCGAGATTGGAGATAGAGTTGATAAGATTAGACAGAGGAGGAAGAACTTCAAGAGGATTTTTAACCGAGATTTGTGGATTTACCACCATTATTTCTATCGGTGAATTTGCCGCAACCAAATCAGCTGAAAGATTTCCCACTTGCGGATTTTCTAACAGTGACCTGGAAAGCTCCATTGCGGATTTTTCCAACAGAGGGCTGAATTCAATGCTTGGTTCCTGAGAAGACGGATTTATATTTACAAAGTTAACAATAACAATTTCTTTATTTTTAATATCATCTTCCTTCTCCTGCTCTACCTCCATGCTCACGCTGTCCTTCTCGAGAAGGATGGCCTCGACTGTGACGATGTTCTCCGCAGCAGTCTCCAGCTTGTTCTCCTTACCCTCTAACATTTCATCCCCCTCATTGCTTAGCATGTCCAGTTCCTCCTCCTAATAAATCAAAGAATCAGTGTATCAGTGAGTGAGTGAGTGAGTGAGTGAGTGAGTAAGTGAGTCAGTGCATCAGTGAGTGAGTAAGTGAGTGAGTGAGTGAGTGAGTGAGTGAGTGAGTGAGTGAGTGAGTGAGTGAGTGAGTGAGTGGGTGAGTGGGTGAGTGAGTGAGTGAGTGAGTGAGTGAGTGAGTGAGTGAGTCATCCAATCAATCAAAATCAACGGTACCCTTGAAACCTTAATCTGATCAAAAATGTAGAAGATACCGTCGTTTTTCGACTCGAAAAGAGTTTTATTTCTGTGAATTCCTACATAATTCTTATCAGCAAGGCATGCGCTAATCATTGTCTCAAAAATACCGCAAATGAAAATAATTAGAGTAAAGAAATTGAATCATTGAATCAATTAAAACTGGTACTGTCCCGCCAAATTGGAGATGTGGTAACATTACTCCGATTTTTAAAAAAGGATCAAAATCAAGTCCTGGTAATTATAGACCGGTGTCTGACATCTATTCCTTGTAAAATCCTAGAATCAATCATCAAAGACAGGGTTACTGAGCATCTGTATGATAATATACTTATAAAATCCTCCCAGCATGGATTTACTAAAAATAAGTCTTGTCTGACAAACCTGCTAGAGTTTATGGAAAAAGTGACAAAAGAATATGATTCAGGAAATGCCTTGGACATTGTTTATTTAGACTTTGAAAAGGCCTTCGACAAAGTTCCTCATTCAAAACTTATAGACAAATTAAAATTCTTTGGAATTCAAGGTCAAATATTGCACTGGATTAACAACTGGTTCAGTAATAGAAAACAAAGAGTTGTTTTAAATGGAGAATTTTCAGAGTGGATCCAGGTTCTCTCTGGGGTACCCCAAGGAAGTGTACTGGGTCCTCTTTTATTTATAATTTTCATTGACGACATTGACATTGCAGCAGGTGACATATCTATCCTCAACAAGTTTGCAGACGACACTAAGTTGGGTCAGGTCATGTTTAGAAGAAGATAAAGAGAAACTCCAAAGCTCTCTTGATACCCTCTATTCATGGGCAGACACCTGGGATATGAAGTTTAATGTTTCAAAATGTAAAATTCTTCACGTTGGCAAAAACAATCCCAGACATAATTTCTTTATGAATGGGGCTCAGCTTAGTGAATCTGAAGAAGAGAAGGACCTCTGGGTTCTTGTAAATAAGTCATTAAAACCTACCAGCCAGTGCTCAGAGGCTGCCAGAAAGCAAACTTTATCCTTGGATCTATTTCTAGAGCATTTCATTACAGAGACAGACATGTTTTTGTCAACCTGTACAAAATCTATATTCGCCCTCACCTGGAGTTCTGAACCTCTGCCTGGTCGCCATGGACTGAAGCTGATTAAATACCTGATTAAATACCTGATTAAATACCTAGGAACAAGTTCAGAAGCGTGCTATTCGTATGATTTCCGGTCTCCATGGTGAATCTTATGAAGAAAAATTGAAAGAGTTAAACCTGCTTTCGCTAAAGGAAAGAAGAGAACGTGCTGACATGATTCAAACATTCAAAATACTTCAAGGTTTCAGTGATGTAAATCCATCAACTTGGTTTAGAAGGATCAATCCCAGTCGAGTTACTAGAAATGCAACCGACCCTTTAAATCTTGAAATCCAGATCTCCAGAACAAATCTAAGAAGTAATTTCTACAGTGTTCGAGTACCCAGAAAATGGAACTCGATTCCATCAGTCATCAAAGAATCGTCTACAGTGAGTAAATAAATAAATAAATGAAACAGTCACACCATCAGTCCGAAGAGAGGTATGGGAAGAGCCCACTTCACCGCACTATCCCCAAAGGGAGTAGCGGGGTGAGTATCTTCAAAAGAAGATACGATGAATATAGAAAGAATCCGTGAGCTGCTGTAAGAGACATGCAAAACTAAGAAAAGAAAAAAATAAACCGGCAAGAACAATCAGCAAGTCTTTAGTCAACAAAATCATCCTCATAATAACTCGAGTTCCTGAGGATTAATCAACAATAAACAATAAACAATAAACAATGGATATATAATTTATACGTGATCAGACAAAGGGCAACGTTGTAAATCGAGCATTGCCATTTGTGCACGAGGGGTCACTTGAAAGTACGCCTAGAGTCCCATTATGTAATATTTTCCTTAATCAATTTTAAGATAGAAACAGTACAAACCTGTCACAGGTTCATGTTATGTTCTGATCTTTTCTTTTTCATAGTAGATTCTCTGTACATCCAGACTTGAGATAGAATCATTAGATCAACACAGACCTGAATATTACACAGATTACAAGATCAACATTTTATTTATTTTTTCAAATTTATACTTTTTTCAGCAACCCAAATTTATACCAGTAATGATCGTTAACAAACCTGAAGAGAGCCGCAGATAAAAAACTGTGCAGGAGTATTCCTCAAATAGAAATATGAAGTTTTAAATACATCTCCAGTAGTCCACATACACACCATTGGTAGAGACATACCATACGTGGATCTTTGCCTAAATGCAATTCATATATAAATCCGTGTTGATTAAATATTCTAGTGTTGATTAAATATTCTGAGATTTGAATCTTTTTATTCTGTGAATTATTAAGTAAAAAGAATGTAATCTTTTTTAGCGCTTGAAACTATTTTATTTTATTTTAATAACAAGTTAATACTATCTTGATCCGCCCTGGAAAAAATTAATCCTGATCCCAAACTTAATCCAGATTGGGACCAGGTCATGAATATTTCTTCATGATTTACTAGCTTAATGAACAAAATGAAATTTTTCCCCGCTTATTTCTATTCTTAAACTCAATGAGGGGGTATCCACTATCCGGATCCGGATAAGTGGATCCGTATTTTCCCCGGATCCAAATCTTAAAAGCAAAAATGTTTGGATCAAACCAATCCGGATCCTTAATACTGGTTAAAACATTGTGATGTTGTTTCAAATTCTAATAGTCCTACTACCTGAAGTTTCTATAGAACTGTGGAACTCCAAGCATAGCCTCCATAAATACTGCTAGAAATCCAACAGTTTCAACAAAGGGAGGAAAATCCAGGAGAAAATACATAAACATCGCACCTTTAAACATACCGAGCTTGAAAATAGTTCACAATTTTAAATTCATTTTATTGGTTTTCATAAAAAACCATTTTCAGTACGGGGGGGGGATTGAGATTGAAGATCAGGGGAATAAATTGACGGATTTTACTTAAAATTATATACTAGAGTCATGACTTAAAAAGTACATTTAAGACATTTTCATATATATTTTAACATTGCACCAATATATTAAATGTATTTTATTACCTATGGCTGCGACAGACATAATAAACTCTAAGTAAGATGTAAAATCTGTCCAGGCCCAAAAATATCCTAAATCCAGATCTGTAAATACTCTTTCACGTCGTCTCTCATTCACAATCAATTCCTAAAATAATAATATTGATAATAATATATTATGCGTAGGAAGAAAGTGTAATAATCAAAATTATTGTTATAATATTGAAAGANTTCCATCATGATATAATCATTGCAATACTTTAGTACATCCATATGTTATGCCCTAACGTGGCAAGATTAAAAAAAAAGTTTTATCTTCTAGAATTAGAAATTTTATAACACATAATTATCGGAGGACGAGGATTTCGAGGTGTCTTGGACGAGAAAATGAGGAGAATGTAGCTCGGACGAGTGATTCTTGTGAATGGCCTTCCTCGCCTCGTTAGACCCAACTAAAGATCCGGGCGTAACAAAAACTAGAGCCTCCGAAAGTCCGGACTTTACTTCAAAAACCGCAGCTCTGCGCAGAAATACTAAAATTTGTATCACATAGAGTAATGTCTTTCCTTTAAAATAGTTGTATTTAAATAACTTTAATTTTAAATTTAAGGACCCCTTCATTTTAAAACGGACTTCCCGACTCACGACCGTGCCATTTAATCCTGTTTATTATTATTAGTGTAGAAGATATCGTAGGGTTTTTCGGTAAGTGTTTAAATTCTGAGAATTTTTCCCATTGCTTCTGCAAGCAGAAATCCACAAGCCACTTTAAGGCCACAATTGAAAAAAAAATAATAATTAAGAGAAATTTCAATAACTTTTGATCGGACAAAGCCTCAGTGGGTACCGTAAAGAATCGAACATGAATTGAGAGCAATTTGAAATTACTGCCCTTTTGACAACTAAAAAATAAGCAATATTTGTAAGTAATAAAACTACATAGAATAAATGTTGGGTTGAAACCTACCTTAGTGTGTTAGCTAAAAGTAGTGCAAGACAAACGTAGAGTGAGAAACCCTGAAAAATAGGGGGTTTACAAAAAAAGCATTACAAAATTATGTACATTAAAAACTAGTGTATCAAGAAAAAGCTAAAAACAGTAAAGCTCAAGTTATTTTCAATCCAATTCTACATTAATCTATGGAAATAAATATTGCTTTTAAATAATCATATTAGAAAAGTAAGAAGTCTACTTTATGCAGAAGTACTTACACGACTTTGCTATCTTGCATATCATCTATTTTCTAATTCATTATGTAACAAAAGCTTTAAAAAAACTGGTACATTTAAAATGTGTTATATTCCATCCAAGATATAATCCTATTATTTTTAATAATAAACGCTTTTAAGTTTTTGAAAGGATTGACAAAGTGCTGTTTCAGAAAAAATGCAGATATTCGGGTTCATGGTACATACTCCTTCAGAGTCTAAAACTAAAGAACGAAAAGTTTTGACTTAAATTTTAAGTTCATGGTTAAATGCCACTTCTGACTTAATTTAAACCTGAACTTTAACCGTGAGGTTAAATATTTAACCCTGTGGTTAAATATTTAACTCGCCGAAATCGACGAGTTAAAATTTAAACACAGGGTGAAAATCTTGAAATCATGCATTTTCCCTAGTCTATTATTCAATCATCATTCAGCTGAGAAAGCGGCATTCAACTTAACGATATATTTAAAAGTGAAAACCTTGTTAAAGAAATTTCACGTTTTAGATAAATTAATTTTTGCATGTAAACCCAAAAAACGGTTGTATGTTTTGTTTTCGGTTACGTAATAACAGCTGATTAGCGATGGTTATGTAATATTCTCCGTAAATCCTTCTCTCTGATTGGTTCAGATTTTCCCGGGAAATTCAAATTTAAAATTGAGAAAGTTTAATATTTAAGTAGCTATTCATTATTTTACAGAACTTTTAACCTCGAACTTAAAATTCGCGCATTCTTTAGTTTTAGACTCTGGTTAGATTAGGATCAATTTAAAGACCTTCCAGCCTATACCTGTGTTGTTTGTTTTGATTTGATCTGAATGTACTGAGGGATAAAGGGAACAACACCTCCAATCATGATTGCAACCTCACACCCAAAAGTGATCAGCTAAAACAGAATCAAAATGAAAATAAAACGATGTTTTTATAGAATTATTAAGATAGTTAGCATCTTTTTAAGTCCGAGGTAATATACGTAGTAACGTACAAAAAGGGAAAATGCTGCTCTTTTTATTTATTTTTGAATATCTTTTTAAAAGAAACGATAAAATCGACATTAACATCCCATCTGATCGGAAAACCATGGATAGAAATAAAAAAGATCTACAAAATTTATAACGGATCCACATGGAAAGAAATCAACTCCATAGGCCTCCTTGAGAATGTGTTAACAATTCATACCTCATAAACTTAGCATATATGTAAACTTTTTATATTTAAGATCTATATTAATAACTGATCGACATGGAAAGAAATCAACTCCATAGGCCTCCTTGAGAATTCATACCGTGGTTAGCATATATCAATACAAAAAGTTTATGGTGATGCAATATTTTGTTCAGTGCAGAATAATGCATAATGTTAGTACACCGACCCTGGTATCCCCGTGTTAATTGTGTGCATACAAGGACAATTCCTAAACCTCTGTGTGAACTATGAATATCATTAAAATACTCTCTTCTAATCCAAATATCTAGAGATAAATGGTTAAAAGTTTTAAAGGAATTCCAATTGTTAGTTCCAACATCAGTCCAACTAAATGCCCAGTTTCATAAGAATAAAAAAATCGTTTTCTATCCAAAACTTGACATTCTCAACGTGCTAAATCAATACATCTTCTTCAAAATTATTTTTCCCACTAGTCAGACACGATCAAGACAAGACTTCCTAAAAATAAAATTATCGACTTTTTGTCGTATGGCGTAACACTTTTTTAGTATCTAACCATGTATCTACAATATATTAGAATAGTCGCAAAGACAAATAATCCCACGAAATGTGACCCTCAAGAAGAAGTCAGAAATGGAAATGTGCAAAATTGTTTTAGTACCTAAAAACTATATTTTCGTTTCAAAATTTGACCCACTTCGTTCAGAACTTTTAACCACAGCTATGGACATTTCAGTGGTTCTATTGAGTTCCGCAATTAAAACATAAGGCAAATTGATCGAGGGTTCCTGAGTTATATGATCGGGCATACAAACAAACAAATAGAGATTACAACTTTAACAGATTAATAAAAACTAGCAAGTAACAATTATCCCACAGTCCTAACTGAGTTCCCTCTTAGTAATTGAGGCAAATCAGTCAAGGGGTTCCTGAGTTATGATCGGACATCCAAACAAACAAACAGAGATTACTTCTTGATATTTACAGTTTGGCTAGCTAGCAACCATTATCCAACAGTCCCAACATCCTGACATAATGCACATTTTTACCCTACAATATTTTTGTTAGTTTCCAGCGCTAGAAAATATTTCAAACCTTTAACAAATCGTCCAAGGGAAACCATACTGGAACCTTACAAATAAATTATTAAGTATCACACTTGCAAGCATTTTAAATTGTCACAAAAATTATTAAAAGCATAGCAACAGATCATTTAGTGTCCGGTATATGGTACAGGGGCATGTATCTCTTCCATTATTTCATTCCCGTCGAGAGAGGGTATGACGGGGGGGGGGAAGTAGGGTTGGTAATAAAGTTTTTTTTTCGTAGATTTTATTTCAATTTATCTTAAAATGTTTTAAATTAGCATTAAGTGATAGCTATTCAATTTTGAGGCATTGATGCAGGGGTGTATATTTTCTTGAAAAATTGTTCTTATTCCCAGAAGTTAGGTTTTTTTATTTGCTGAATTGGGGGAAACATTTTTTTTGGTGTAAAAAGTATCAAATAGAATAAAAAAATGATATTTTTAAAAATTATACACCCCTGTATTAATGTTGTGGAACAGATATATTCCCCTGATATAAAAATATCGATAACTTTACCTGTACAATAAAATCTTGAATGGAAGTGATATTTCCTCCCATCACTGCTCCGTGTTCAGCCCCTACCCCCATCAAGTCAACAGTTCATTGCTCTGGAATTAAAAAAAATGCAGTTGTTACAAGGAGCTAAATGATTACATGTTAACAATGAGAATGATGATGAAATACTGAACACAAGGCGCATTTTTACAGGTCTTGACAACGCGACACATTTCATGGATTTTCTGATTCAAAGTCAATATGTGGTAGATAATAGACTCTACACAGCCAACTGTGGGGTTATACGGAAAATAGGTGCCGACTCTACGGGAGTTGAGTAGAGAAGGAGAACAACTGGAGATTATCGCATTCTATATTTGTTCGACTCCTCAGCAGTACACAGTTCACCCTGAAGTTAAACATATTTTAGCAACTTAGAAAGTCCAATTTTATGGGATTGTAAGCGTAAGCGAAAGTGATTTAAGCATTTCATGTCAAAAAGAAGATTGAGAAACTCGCAGAAATAAACACAGAAAAACGACGGTATCTTTCGCATTTTTGATCAGATGAAAGTTTAAACGTTGTAAATTGGGTATTGCCATCTGTACATGGAGAGTAATTTAAAATCACACTCACACACCCTTTGAAATTCCATTTAAACAAGATTTAATCAATATTTACGACGACAAGGTAATTTTCCAACCCAATTCCACCAAATGATTGAATTTCTTTAATGCAGTGAGTAAAGTCGGTTCATTTGAGTCAACATTTTTTAAAAAGTACCCTTTGAAATTCCATTTAAACAAGGTTTAATCAATATTTACGACAACAAGGTAATTTTCCAACCCAATTCCACCAAATGATCGAATTTCTTTAATGCAGTGAGTAAAGTCGGTTCATTTGAGTCAACATTTTTTAAAAAGATCATAAATATTCTAAAGCCGAATTAAAGAATTTGAGCCATGGCTTAAATTTGAGACGCAGCTCGAATATGGTTGGTTCCACTTAAAATTATATTCAATGTTTCAAGATTCAAGCAGGCGCTCAATTGAAATCTGTTTTCGGATATGAGACGCAGCTCAAATTTAATAAATTCGGACTCTACCTCGAATTTGATGCTGATATCGAAGTCCATATCCCTGACATTCCTGGTGTTGGGGGTCATCTTGAAGGTTCCCCTCAACTCCTCTCCCTTCTTGCAGGTCAGGTAGTCTTGCAGATAGAACACGGTCTAAATTAAGTTCACAATTTTTAGGAAACATTAAAAAAATTTAATTAATTATAAGTTTCATCTTTTATTTTTTTATAATCTTCCATTACTTATCATTATAACTTTTAAAATGTTTCACAATTTTTCAAAATTTTTCAAAATTTTACATAGTTTTTAATGGTTTTTCATCGTTAATAACTGAGGGGGAGGGGGCTCGTCCGCAGAAAAGTGGTTTTATTTTCTGTTTTAAGAATATGAATCCGTGTTTTTTTTAAAATTCTACAGTCTTTGGGCATCGTATGTTTTGGAGGTTGGACGCCGGCAAATGGTAGAAGAACAGAGGACGACCATAAACCACCTGGCGAAAAACTATAAAAAGATTGAGAAATTTAGCCTCTCTATTGGAGAGCCTGAAACTGTCGCTCGAGACTATGAAAGATGGAGGAGCTTACTAGGACCTATTACTCCGACAGCGGAGGTCAGAGTCAGAAAGTAAGTAATGTTTTGAAGGTTATTCTGAAAAAATAAACCCTTGATCACCTGTTTCCAGTGAGTGTAGGGAGCTTCAGGAGCAGTAGAGAATCCAACCCTCTTATGACAATGTGTAAACTCGATGTTGAAGAACGATACAAGCGCCTTAATAAAAAAGTTGTCAAATTTTAAAATTCAAGTTAAAAAGAATAAAACATTAATATATTTAATACAAAATAATATTTGTATTTCTTTACATTTCTTCCTACATATTCACAATTTTGATGTAAAAATTCAGATTTCATGGCATGTCGCATTGATCCTTTTTTAAAAATCTTTTGGATTCGTTTAAAATAACAATATGATTTTATTAAAATTTTTTCAAATAAAGAAATATTTAATTTACAAAAACACAATCTTTTATTTGTATACCGGTCAACAATTGTTCAAAAAATAATTCAATAGGAATTTATTTAATTCAATTCAACCCTCTCAAAGAGAAAGCAATAGCTTTCATAAAATTGATGAAAAGGAATGAAAATTGTATTTAAAATATCTATTACTTAAAGTAAAAGTATCCAGGAGACAAAAACCTTGTTTGGTTTAATGGCCCGTAATAATTAGGATTAATTTTTCAAGCCCAGTTCTCCAGCCAAAGTGTGAATTCGAACTATTTAAATTTTCCGTCAGACGTTTCTAAATAAGCTTTACATTTTTATCTTTCACGCGTTGCAAATAGTATTCTGAAGTATTAAGAAAATTATATAATGCTGATTATTATTTGTCTTACTGAAAAATAAGTACGATTTTGATTAAAAAGACAAACTCTCAATCCCAACTTTGAATAAGTTCAGGAAGACCTATATCTACATAAGAAATTAGATTGAAATTTAGTTCCGACCATATTTCCTTTAAAACACCAGATTTATCTACTTAAGAGAATTTTTAATTTTCCCCAAAATTTTCAAGCATTTTTCAAATTTTCATTGCAATTATTTATTTTCACCCACAAACTCATTACAACCCCCCCCCCTGCAAAAAGATTTTTGAAAAAATGTTTGATGTATCCATGTATTTTGTTACTATGCCAGAGTACAACGCCCTTATCATTTTAAGTATTTTTCCGCAAATTTTTTAACTTTGGAGACGAAAGGATGTTAAACATAAAAAATCCTTTTCCTTTATCAAAAGATAAAATGTCTCATACCAAGTTTCAGACGTTAGCTACGAACTTTGTTAAATTCCTTTTTTCCAATATTTGTTTTAGTGGTCAGACCTTACACAATATGAATAAAATATTTGTTTGTTTTAAACATAGAAATCACCTCATTCAGCACAATTTACACTCATGATCAGAGTTCAAAGTTTGCTCAGTTAGACCGGACCATCTTATCAATTAAAAATGATGAAATTAAAATTCATGAAAACACAAGTGTGTTCTTAATTTTTGCCGAAAATGTGAGAGAAAAATAAAAGACTATCTAACAACTAGCCTGGGAACCCAGCGCTGCCAAGGTTACTAAAAGTTACCCTCGTCGTTTACCAGCACTAGCAACAATTTTACCGGGAAACTAAATTTTCACTATTAAAGTCAACCCACTCAACTTGGAATCTAAAAACTAAGCAAATAACATTCCCGCGGTTCTCCCAAGTTCCCCAAAATCAAAATTTGAAACAAATCGGTCCAGGGTTGCCTAGTTATGATCGGAAAAACAGACAGACACACAGAGATTTCAACTTTATATAAAGATAGATGCTCGAGTTAAAAAATAACCAAAAAAAGTTACTTATGTTGGTCTCGTAATTCACGAAAAACTTCAAACAAAATTTTTGCTCAAATGTGGGAGAAATAAAGCAATGTCTCGCTTGATACCCCATACCCTCAATTCCAAATGCCAAAATTCGAATCTCATTATTCAACCGAAGTTTCTGGTCTCTACAGTTTCAAGAACGTACATATAACTTTAGAATCGTGGTATAGTTTAGAACTAATTTACAGAACTGAGGCTGCATTCATTTGACATTGTATTGAACCAACATTAAGTTTAAATAAACAACAAAACTTTGGAATACATTTCGGCTTAATTTTGTCTCGACTTTTACTTTTTTCCAAATTTGGAAGAATTTTCAGACTAAAAGTACCTAGTTTATCTATTTCATGACCAGACCAAACGTCTCGGTGACAGTTCAAAATAAAATATTGGGAAATGGATACAATATTTTTAATGGAGTTAAAACTTTTATTTAAATGCGGAAGATGTAATAGAAAAGAAGAAGATTAAAAACATTTTTAAACAAAGAGTATTTATCCCAGAAACTAAAAGTTTCTGAAGTCACGAAATATATTATAACTAAATACTGGGAAAATGCTGGTGCAGAAAACACTTGAGCCAAAGGAGAATACCAGGGGTGTATATTTTCTTGCAAAATATTTTTTAGCCCCCCCCCCCCCGTTATGAAAATCATTTTTTAGAAGATGTGTGTTTGCGCAGAGCGCACAATTCTATTTAAACCTGTAAATGCACTTGATTTCTGATGTTTCTTAAAAATAAGTATGCACAAAAAACCTCAAGGTGCCCTTTTCTGAAATTTGAGATTATAACTAAGTAGACTGCATCTTAATATATTCCAATAAAATATGCGATTGTTTTCACTTAAAACCTGATGGTTTATTTTCTGCAGTGTGAGGGTGCACCAGATCAACATACAGCCTGAGGCGCGGCGGGAGGAGATAATAACATTAAAATCTAGGGGACAGAAGGGATAGGGTATTGTTGCGAGTTACAGACGCCATTTTAGAGGGGAAAAAAGACTAATTATAATTTTTAATTATCATTATTTCTCAAAAACATGTTTGTTTACTGCTTAATTGACCGATCAAGGTTGATAACGCACAGAGTTTATTACATGCTCTTAAGTCAAGTCATTGCCACAAACTCCAATTTTCTAATACCTATATCTTTACAACCTGATGAAAAACTAATATATATTAAATTATTAATTCTGTTAGATAAAATAATCTAAGTGTGAACCACCGGGTTGCAAAGATATTTGGATTAAAATATTTGACTTTGTGTTAAATTTATATAACGAAGATCCCCAGTTTCATTTTTGGGTTCTATGCATTAGCGTAGATTTTAATTAAAGAAAACAAAAAAGAATGATCAGAATGTTTCTTAACAAAAAAAACTGCGTGACATGAAACCGAGTTTCCGATACTCTAATTACGATACTCTGTCTTAAGGTCTTAAGTTTTGGGCTCAGAGATTAAAGTTAACATTTGTTTATTTATTAGATTAATGTGTTCCTGCTGTACCATTCTGGAGTTAAATACAATGAAACCCATTAAACTGTCAATCAGGAAGACGACTGTAAAGCTCAAGTTATGATTTTTGTGACCATGAACCACAGAAATTATGCAGAACCCCATTTCCAGTTACTTTTGCTTGGTTTTCTAGTTTGTATGGACCCCACTGTACACATTCCAGTTCTGCGAGTCTCGCATTCACAGCGAGGACTAATCCGATACATTTCATATTTAAACTTGGTCCGATCTTTTAGAACCGGACCTTAATCATGTTTCTTTCTTTCTTTCAAAATAGCATACTCCAAGATCACGATACAAAAATCAGGATTTTTTTTGAAAGATAAAATTCTATCTTTAAAACATAAAGTTTAATTATTTAATTCTATATTAATTGTTAATTACAGTGCCGCATTTTAATTTCAATTTTTTACGTCGAATATTCAAAATTTGTGCACTGGACCGATCGAATTTACCAAAAATCTCAAGTTTCTCTGTACTAATTCATTTCACCATTGTGATACGTACTCTTTACATGATAACTGAATTCATGAACCTCAAATGCAAAAAAAGTAAACCTGAAGTTATTAAGAAGAAAAAAATTGTCAAAAATGACAAGATTTTTAAAGCAATCCCTTTTACTCTATTCCACTAGAATAGACTAAAAAGTTTGAGTCCCTGTATGTACACTTGTTTCAACTCACCTGGACATAATCATTTCGCTTCAGCTGAATTAAGAAATCAGACTGGAACGGGATATCAGCCTTAGTGCAGGTCTGGATATCAATTTCCTAGAAATATTAAAGGTAAGGAGATATTGGGATATCAGCCTTAGCGCAGGTCTGGATATCAATTTCCTAGAAATATTTAAGGTAAGGGAATATTGGGATATCAGCCTTAGTGCAGGCCTGGATATCAATTTCCTAGAAATATTAAAGGTAAGGGAATATTGGGATATCAGTCTTGGTTCAGGTCTGGATATTGATTTCCTAGAAATATTAAAAGTATGGGGATATTGGGATATAAGTCTATGTGCAGGTCTTGATATCAATTTCCTAGAAATATTAAGGTAAGGGAATATTGGGATATCAGCCTTAGTGCAGGTCTGGATATTGATTTCCTAGAAATATTAAAGGTAAGGGAATATTGGGATATCAGCTTTAGCGCAGGTCTGGATATCAATTTCCTAGAAATATCAAAGGTATGGGAATATTGGGATATCAGCCTTTGTGCAGTTCTGGATATCAATTTCCTAGAAATATTAAAGGTAAGGGAATATTGGGATATCAGCCTTAGTGCAGGTCTGGATATCAATTTCCTAGAAATATTAAAGGTATGGGGATATTGGGATATCAGTCTATGTGCAGGTCTGGATATCAATTTCCTAAATATTAAAGGTAAGGGGATATTGGGATATCAGTCTATGTGCAGGTCTGGATATTGATTTCCTAGAAATATTACAGGTAAGGAAATATTGGGATATCAGCCTAGTGCAGGTCTGGATATCAATTTCCTAGAAATATTAAAGGTCAAGCGATATTGGGATATCAGCCTTAGTGCAGGTCTGGATATCATTTTCCTAGAAATATTAAAGGTCAAGGGATATTGGGATATCAGCCTTAGTGCAGGTCTGGATATCATTTTCCTAGAAATATTAAAGGTCAAGGGATATTGGGATATCAGTCTAAGTGCAGGTCTGGATATAAATATCCTAGAAATATTACAGGAAAGAGCATTTAAGGACAAACGACAAGCGAACATTCCAGGACTAAATATTTTCGAAAAGTAAATAAATTTTTCTCAGTAAGGAACGCTTGTGTTTAAAAAATTATAGAAGGACTTTTTCATTAACAACGGGAAAAGGACAGTTTTGGGTGAAAAAAAAAGTAAGTGGGAAATCTTGTTTACTTGCCTACCATTCAATATTTTTTCAGTCAAATCTTTGTAAACATTCTTCTATCCCCTCTTACCTTGATTAGACATGAGGAAGCGACCACCTGGTTCCTGTCCACAACATCAACCAGAGGCTCAGACACAGCAACCTTGCCGATAGCGGACATGTTGAATCCGTACACGTCGTCCCACCAGTGGATCTTGTCATCCTTGTACTGTCGATCCTCAATAGCGGTCACGTACAAGGTTGCCCTGTACACGAATAAGTTAATCCGCGGTACAGCTTGATGAAAAAATACCCCTGATATTCATTTAGTAAGATATATATTTCTATGCATGCTATCAAGAACAAAGAAGTATTGTTTATTGCTCAAGAATTATCAAATTAAATAACAATTGGGTTAGAAATAAAAAAATAAAAATTATGAGAAATACGATTTGGGTTGAACAGTGTGTATACTGTACTCATATTGCTGAACAATCATTTGATTGCTAAATTGGATAATACTGAATGAAACCCCCTTCCACTGGAATTCCTCAAAGAAAGTAGTTTACTATATAATAGTTTTTACCTATCAGGGAACATAAGTCCTCCAGGAGCCAACCATTTATCCCTGGCATAGAGCACAGTGTCCAGCATAGACTCATAGAACAAGCAGTACCCCATCCATTCAGAGATAATTATATCAACCTGAATAATATTATATATATATACTCATAGAACAAAGCCAGTGCTTAGGATCCGGATCCGGATCCGCTGGATCCGCATTATTTTGGCTCCAAGCACTTATGAAAAGACATTTGAACTAAAATAAAAATTTTTTTGATCAATGACCTGGATCCGGATCCATTTTTTTGAAAAGCGGATCCAGGATCCGGATCCGGATCCGGATCCGCATCAAAATTAAATGGATCCTAAGCACTGGAACAAACAGTACCCCATCCATTCAGAGATAATTATCTGAATAATATTATATATATATACTCATAGAACAAACAGTACCCCATCCATTCAGAGATAATGATATCAACCTGAATAATATTATAAATATAAACTCATAGACCAAACAGTATCCCATCCATTCAGAGATAATTATATCAACCTGAGTATTGAATAAATAGTCTTGTAAACAAGATCTGGAAGGTAACCCGAAATGGAACCCCTAGGCTGCCTTCAGTGCGCAGCGCATCAACATGCAGCTTACGGCCTGGATCTATCCATTCATAGATAGTTTTATCAACCAAAATTTGTCTATCTACTATCCATTTGTAAAGGGCGCTTTAAAAAAAATTTGTTGGCCAACCAATCAGCATGGAGATTATCCGAATTTAACAAGAAGCGATAAATAGGACACGCCCCCCCTTCCCAAACACCGATCATGCTTTTCATCAAATTTATCCGACCATTTTAATGAACCCGGAAAAAAACCGTGTAGCCCTAGTTATTTATAGTATTTGAATCTTTAAAATAACATTTTGTGTAAAAATGTTCACATTGTATACCTTTTCAACTCCTGCTGGTAGCTCAATCTCTTCAACTTTACCACGGAGGATTGTAACCTGCAAGAACAAAGTATTTTACACATATTTATTATATCTTGATTCATATTACCCCGCAAAAACAAATTAAAATATATTCTGTAATATTCTGTCACAAAAATATTTGAGGCTCAATATAGATCGTGATAATGGATTAGAACTTCATTTTTAAGTTTTTAAAGATACGAAAATGCGGACATCAATTCATAGCATAATATTTAAAGCGTATAGTTGCGAATCACTTAACCCCACTTTAAAAAAAGGCTCCATTAAAATTACACTAACAGTTCGTTTACTGGAGATAAGTGTAAAATCATAAAATGAACAGGTAAACGAAGGTATGTCGTTCACGATCGTTAACAAGGTTTGTACCTTGTCTGCGAGATGATTGTCTTCAACAATCTTCTTGGCGTGCTCCACTATGCTTGACATATCAACACCGATCACCTAGAAAATAAAAATTAAAGAAATTATCATAAAAGCTTTCGTTTTTAGAAAATCGCTTTCGAAAAACTAATTAATTCGCATTTATTTTCAAATTTTTCCAAACTCTTAACATTTCTTTCGGATCCTAATTATTTTATTGAAATAATCGTTCTCGAAAAGCATTATGAGCCAGGGGTTAGTCTTGTCTAGAAAATTCATTCAACATTTTATTAAAAAGATTTGGGGAATTATTGAATTTTAGGTTAAAGTATTGAAAGAGAGGGAAAACTTTTATTCAAATATAACCGATATCTTCAAAAATATTTCTGTTTTAATTTAGAATATGTCGTAATTTTTCAATGTTCTATTAATGAAAAATAAGTGATCATGTACGAAATTGATAGGACGTGGGAGGTGGGGGTCCAAAAATGGTATACTAGGACGAACCCGCACTAGAAATAGATGTTTATCAATCAATCAACTACGATCATGAATAATTTAAACGAAATTTTTCTTCGATCAATCCAGGCTGTCACATATTATACAAATAAAATATCTGCGTGATCCTAGATATGAAATAAATACTACCTTGGTAGGCTTTACAGGTTCAGGGACTAGAGATGGAACAGACTCCATAGTTTCAGCAGACATGTTAACTCAATCTAAATAGCTCTGAAAATGTTTAAATATGAAAATTAACAATATTTCACAAGAAAAAAACAATCACTCTAATGATCATATATTCAAATGGTAGTTTGTTATCACAGAAATCGACTTGAACAGAAAATTGAAAATAGAATTGCGGGTGACTAGTTTAAAGAAGCGGGAAACGTGCAGATTCACTTGGAGATTCCCCAGGTTGGCTGAATGGCGACGCAGTACAATGCCGCGTGGTGGAATTTCTTTGTTGCCCTGCTGCGTAGAACAACAGAGAAAAATAGGGGGGTAATAGTTTTGTAGATATTATCATCAAACTATTAAACATTTTCTGAAAGTAAATGACAATTTGAGAATATTCACAAATATTTTTAAAGAAAACGGTTAATAAAAAATAAATGGCCAAAAATTATAATAAATATTATACATAACTAAATCACCCCCAAAAAATCAAAATAAAGGCTCTACGCGTTTTATAAATCTATTAATCAGATTTTCAACTTGTACTTTAAATATTTACTTCAAATTTATAAAAGATAAAATCGTATACTAGGACTGACCCTAAAAACATTTACGTTAATCGACTTCTTATCACTTATGGCATTGACACTTGAAATCATTATTATTTTTTTAAGCAAAATGTCACCACCGCAAAGCTTATACAAAAGACTCGATTTACGACATTTTCAAGTAAGGCTCAAATATTAGTTTATGATAATAGGTGATGGGCCCGTCCTAGTATAAGATAAGATTTTTGTATGAATAGGTTGCTTGAAATAAAGACGTGCAAAATCTATGTCAGACTATTTTGATTTTTGAACTAGCTTATTTTCCAAGAAAAAATGCAAGAATCAAGATGAGTAGACGCCAGCAGTCCTTACTCACACATATTCCAGAATGTGTTGCCCAACATTATTACAGGTGGGTCAAGGTATAGATATTCCGTGGCTGGGGGCTCATCCNATGATTTACAGTTTTTTTTTTATTTCAAAAGGTGCTGAGCCCCCCTCCCCCTAGAAAAAAATTCTTAATACGCCTGCAGATGAATCTACTTCTAATTGTGTCTTGTTAAAATTTGTTTGGAGAAGGGGGACCTACAATTCTCATTAGGAGTTTGAACTGAACCAAGAAGAAGATTAAAGGGGAGAGGCGGGAGGAGTCACTGGATAGGTACAGAGCGTACCATATCATATTGGATTATCTCCAAGGTTTAACGCTGGAATACGGACTGAATACTCGAAAACCCTAGTGTTTTCTGCATTTAAATTTTATTAGGCGGCTTATACAGCTTTTTAAACCAATTTAATCCTTCTAAAATTTCTGATTTGTCTCGAAAACGCAATTTACAGCCATAAACGATCCGAAATGATGTGGAACTCCCTGTAAATGGAAAGGGAATACGAAAGCATAAGAATTATTAGAAAAAATTATTTTTATTTTTTTTAGACATGGTTTGTTTTGCGCTTCCCAACCCCTTCCAGTTCTTCTTTTCGCTATAGGAGGTAAGTTTAATACTTTAGCCTGGGCTATCTATTTTTGAAGATTTTATTTCGGAGATTTGGGTTTATAATTAAAAATTGGACGTCAACTAGCAAGTCTTCATCAAAAAAAAATATTTTCCACAATGCACTAGAAAAAATGGTAATTTTAAGAATATTAAAGCAAGTAAAAAATAATACCCAAGTGTCATTCAAATCCTACAAATCAATGGACAATGTCTCAATTAGAGGAGCTCGGGGGGCGATTCGCGCGGTAATAATTCAATTGCCCCCCCCCTCCCCGGGAACATATCATAAGTCAACCCTGCCTCCTTGAATAAATAAATCATAATTACCATCTTAGCTCCAGCCTTGGCAGCGAACATGGATAGGATTCCAGTTCCACATCCAACATCCAGGACAATCTTGTCCTTGAAGAGGTGCTTGTTATGCCACATGGAGTTCCTGTAGGTGAGGGTCCTCACCTCGTCCTTCAACATCTCCTCGTGGATCCCGAAGTGAGCGTAGGAGTCGAAGTAATAGTCCTTGCTGGTCATCTCCTCGGAGGAGAGCTTGGAAACATCTCCTTCCTAAAAAGAGAAATAAGGTCCTAAATAATGCTAAATAAATACTAATTTGGTCATGAACAAAATTGACAGGAGGGGGGGCCGGGGGGTC